GAAATGCTTGAGATTTCATTCTCAACCCCTTGATTGAAAACTCACGCTGAGTAAAAGGAAGTCAAGAAAATATTGTAGATTAGGGTAGTGTATTTGTCAGATGTTCATTACGACAATGAAGTACCTGATGCAACTAACTTTAAAAGTAGAAAATATTTGGGCAAGCATTTGGTGCAGCAGTTGAGACCCCACTTGGAACACCTGCATTCACATTTGGTGTGCTTGCATTCAAGTCTCAACCCCACTTCCAATTCCAACTTCCTGCTAATGCACACTCTGGAGGGCAGCAGTTATTTGCTCAAGTACTAGGGTTACTGACACCCATGTGGGATAGCTGGATTGAGTTCTAGCTTCCTGGCTTTGGTCTGGCCTAGCTCTGGTTGTTGTGGGCATTGATTCTGAACCAGTAGATGGAAGATCTGTTTTGGTCTGTCTCTGTCTCGCCTTCCAATATTTTTTTAAATAATTTGAAAAGATTTATTATCTCACATTTATCTTATGAGTTATTATCTCACAGTTATCTCATGAGTTATTATCTTATGTCAAAGACTGAGTAACCCTGTTGGTTTGGCATCTATGAAGGTAGCAGGTGGCCATGTTGGGGCATGGTCAGAAGGAGTATTACATGGTGAGCTAGGAAGCAAAGACAGAGAGGCTAAGCCTAAACTCTGGCTTTTATAACCACCCTGTCATGAAAACTTCCTTCTGATAACACATCCCCATTGACCTAAGGACCTTACACCAGGCCCCAATTTTTAACACTATAATCAGATTAAGTTTTCACTCTCTTATTGCTTCTTAACTTATGACTTTGAAGTTTAATGTCCTGTATGAGTTCTGGGTCAAATCATCTTCAAATCATAGCAAGTAGCCTTTCAAGCTGTGATGTTTGTACCCTTAAGGTAGATAGAAAGTGGTTTGCTAAACAGTCACTCATAACAGTATTACTATAATGTGTCTTCTTGGGCATCAGTTAGCACTTGGGCCAGGGCAAACATCTTTTGTATTAAATACACCTACCGAGTAGAATTCAAAATTCATATACATCTTTAATAGCAAAATCTAAGCAATCTTAATTTTGGAGAGGACAATAGCCTCTCACCGTCTGCTCCAGTCCCCTATGGGTAAATATCCACTCTCTTCTATATTGAGACCACATTGGTGTTAGAGCCCTGATTGAGCCCATTAGCACCAAGGCCTACTCAGTGTTCTCATGGTTGGGTTTCTTGTTCTCTAGAGCCATGTTACCTCTGCCCTGGCTCTTCCTTGATGTACCTTTATTGTCTTCGGTATTTCAGCCACCAACAACCATCTTGGAGATCAGTTGAATTTAAATGTGAGAGCTCCTCATTCTTAGTTTTCTTTACTTACCTTGATTTCACATTTAAAACTCCAGTTAAAGTTTCCTAATGTGTCTCTAGAAAACCAGTGTTAGCTCAAAGTTATTTTGCAGGCACAAACAATGCATCATGAATACTGTGTTGTCTTTAAAAGATGGCATAGTAAGATAATCTTACTTATTCTTTACAACAATCTCTCTCCCAACCAGGGCAAACTCAGGTGATGAGGTCAAAGTGAAACCTGCCAATTTATTCCTACAGATATTTGTGAAATATCTGTAACTGATTTATTCCAGCATCTGGGCTACATTCCCAGAAGACAAAGTTCATTAAAACCCAACATCAGCCAATCCAGTGGGGAATCAGATAAGTAAACCAACAGAGGACATAATAAGAGCAAGTGTTTAGCCCAGAGATTTTGATGCCCATTTCTCATACAGGAGTACCTGGCTCTGGTTCCTGACTCTGACTTCTTCCTTCTTTATTTAATTCCTTTTTGAGTTTAAGTATGTGTCCTGCCAAAGTAAGCACTCTGAATTCCTGCTAATTCATGATGATGGTGATGGCTCACCACCACCCACATGGGAGACTTGGATTGTATTCTCAGCTCCTGGCTTCAGCCCCAGTCATTGTGAGCATGCAGGGAGTGAAACAGCAAATGGGAGCTCCCCTGCTCTGTGTCTGTCTGGTTCTCTCTATCTTTACCTCTGCATCTCAGACAAATGAACTTTTTTTTAAATAGGGGACAGAGGAGACAGTGGATGAGGGGGCTAGGGAGGGCAATGACCTGCCACAAATGTTAAAATGATGTCATTCCATTGGACATAAAACATGTGTAAATATTAAAAACATTGCAATGAGGGGGGAAAGTGTATCCTGTGGATTGAATAATATATGGTTATCAAATTTATGCAGATGGTTAAATCCCAAATTCACAAACTGATAACACTGATGGTAGTGTTGGGGGGTACATCTAGTGGGAGGTCCTTGGGACACTGGGGGCCTGCCTTCAGAATGCAGTTCTTGTACGAAGGGAGGGTTATAAAAGACAAGTTGGCTTAGCCCCTTATTCTGCTTTGTGGCTTGCCATGTGATTTTTCCTTATAAATCCTGCCATTGCCATCCTCTGGCCTTACCAGATGGTCAAGCCAGTAGGGCCCACCCAACCTGAACTGTGAACCTCCAAAACCCTGAGTCAATACAGGTGGCTTCTCCCAGGATGTGTTATAGTAATGAAAAGCTGAGTAATCCAGTTAATCACCCTGAAGATGTGCAGGAATATTTGGAATTGGTTTACAAGGGAAAGTTGGAGGAGTTTGGAGGAGCAGGTTAGAGAAAGCCTGGCATGCTGTAAGCAGAGTATCATGGGTGATTCTGATGAGGGCTCAGGATACTAGAATGCTGATAACTAGAATGTGGACAGGAAGACCCAGGCTGAAGGACTCTTGGATGAAAATGAGGATTTTCTGGAGAGATGGACCAAAGGCCATCCTTGTTATGTTATATTATGTTATGTCAAGGAGCCTGGGTGTTTTTGTGCCTGTGTTTTGATAACTTTCATCACTAGAAGTCCAGTGCACTATCCATTGCACAACAGAGCCACTTGTTTTGATACTTTATGAAAGGGTATACTTAAAGAGGTTGGCCTAGTTTGGCAGAGGAAATTTCAAGGCCGCAGGGTGTTCTGGATGGAGCATGGATGTTCTTGGCTGTTGCTGATAAGTTTTACAATGAGAATCAGGAGCAAAAGAGAACAAAGTGGAAAGATGTGAAAAATCCGTATGGCCTGGCCAGAGAAGGAACAATGAAAATAACATGTTAAGGATGGAATAATGCAGTGGAGAAGTCTCTTGATTAGAATATTAGTGCAGGTTAAAGGAGCAGAGAGCTAATAGGCAAAATGCCATGAGGCTACTGCAGCCAAGGTTCAAGTGGATCCAGGTGCAGATCTTGCTGGCAGCAGACCTTGGCACAGTCTATCTGATGCTGCTTTGGCAGGTACAGGGTCATGCCGGCTTCCATCAAGGTCTCACAGTAAAACCTGAGAGGCCAGGCAGAGTTGTGCCACAGAGTAAGAGGGGCTGATGCAGTGATGCCTAGTGAAGATGTGGGAGTGAAGCCACAGTGAAAAGCCCAGAAAGGTAGAGGAACCAGGAACACGAGGCCCTCAGTAAAGAAAGCTGCAAGCTACTTGCCAGGTCATCCTGGGAAAGCCGCAGACATTAGTATGCTGCTTCAGAGAACAGCAATGTAAACAAAGACCAGCAGAGTTTGAGATATTGTGTGCTCCCCTGGATTTTGAAGGATATGTTCAACAACCTGGAGGTCCAGGAAGAAACACAGAGGGCTAGGGACACTGCAGAGAGCCCCCACTAGGACAATGCCAAGTGCAGATGTGGGGTTGGAATTGCTGCAGGGAGTACCTACCAAGGCAATGCTCAGTGGAACAGCATGGTTGAGACTCCGGCCAGTGAGAACTGAAGCATAGGCTGTGACTATAAAGCCACAAGGGCAGAGCTGCCCAAGCCCTCAGGAGCTTATCCTCCCTTAGTGTGCCCTGGGTGTCAGGCATGCAGCTTTAGAATTTAATATTTTTTCTGCTGGTTTTAGATCTTGCTTTCCTCTGATTAATTCTTTTTACATGCTCGTTACCCTTTTATGGAATGAAAATGTATACCTGTTCCACTCTTGTAGCTTGGAAGTATGTAAGTTGTTCTGTTTTGTTTCATTTTGATTATACTGGGACACACAATTGGAGGAGATTGCCTTCAATCTAAGATGACACTTTGGACTTTTGATTAATGTGCTGAGTTAAGACTTTGGAACTATTGGGGATGGAATGATTGTATGCTGTATATGGGAAGGACAGGAGTTTCTAGGAGCTGGGGGTAGGTTTCTATGCTTTGAACAGGATATGGCTCCCAAACACAAGTGCATGATTAAATGCTAAAGTCTTAAGTTGATGGTACTAAGGGGGTGGAAACTTAATCCAATTATTGCATTTGGGAGGTCCTTGGGACACTGGGGGACATGGCATGTCCTCAGAATGCAGTTCTTGAAAGAGGATTGGTTATAAAAACCAAATTGGGTCAAGCCTCTCTCCTTCTGTTTCCTGCTCAATCAAAACATATTATTGTTCCTGCACACAGGCTATGCCATTGCTATCCCTTGGCCTCACCAGATGGTAGAACTTGGGGCACCCAATCTTGAACCATGAACCTCCAAAACCATGAGCCAAAATAAACCTCTTGCTCAAAGTTTCATGTAGCCACATGACTATAGTTGTTATGTATGCTCCATAGCCAGATGTCTGGAGTACTTATCCCAGCTATGATGGGAATAAGAATGGTTCTTAACTCCCATATACTAGTAAGGCCTCCTCACTTAACATTCTTCCTTCTTCCAACTCTCTGCTTCCCCTAACTGGACTGATGGGTTTTGACTGCTATTATATGTTTGTGTAAATGGCCAAAAAATACTATTGTAATACAAATTAAGTCACAATTTTTTCTTGTAAGAGCATTTCCACCAAACTCTCAAAATAAAATGTCATGGTAAATAAAGGGAGGGGAAGGCTTCTGCCAAGTTGAGGCTCATTTCCCAAATCCCTTTACCTCTAGTCTATTTGTTGCATGTTGATGGCTTTCCATTCCATTTTAGGCCGAACACATCCTTGGGACAGCTTTGCCTAGCCCCAGCCAGGAAGAACATCTGTAATGAGAGGATCCTGAATTTGCTCAAGCAAGTCAGACTCTTTATAAACCATACCTAGACGTCAGAACTGGGATGGAAGATCTGGCACCTGTGGAAGGCCAGAGCCAGCTACCAAGCCCACACCATGGCTCCCTGAGAAGGGCTGTGGCTGCTGCCCTGGCTCTAGATGGGGAATCCACAATGGGTCGCAGGAAAAAGAAGAAGAAAGATCCTCGCCCTGAATCAATCATCATCTACCGGTCAGAGAATGAGAAAATGGATGACGAGCCTGAGGAGTTGGAGGGTGGAGATCAACCTAAAGAGGAGGAGGGAGACGATTTCCTAGACTATCCCATGGATGACAGTGAGTGTCTCTGGGACCCCTGGTTTGAGGCCATGGGAAGAAGCCCAAAAGGGATCTCCATCTCTCAGAAGACAGACATTTGCCCACTGATGTATTTCTTCTTGGTGATTCATTTCTTATCACAATGTCATAGTCTTTATTCAGCAAATGGTAGTATTTACCCAGAACCTGTTGTTTCTAAGCAATATGGAGGTGATCTCCACTCTTTCAGAACTCATAGTATAATGGAAGAGGCTTATTTATACACAAAAATTAGTAACACAGACTATGCTGATTAATTAATGTAGGATAATTGACAAATATTGACTTATATAATAATCAGAAAATGCAAAGTATGACAATGAAATATAATTTTCTATCACAAATAGGATTGCCAAAAACTGGGTAAAATATATCAAGACATGGAAATTGATATGTTCTCAATGCCTCAGGTGGCAGTGGAGCTAGTTTCAAAGGGAAATTTGTCAATATTTTTAAAATTCAAAATAAGCATATGCCAGATCCCCCAAATTCTTAGTATCTATACCACAAAACTTGTACAAGGAGGCATGTGTAAGAATGTTGCTGCTAATGAAACAGTGTCTTGTTTGTAGTAATTATTATGCAGCATTAAATGGTTGAGATATATCTATTTGTGCATATGGGTATATCTTTATGACACATGCCCACAGTGAACAAAGCTAGCAATGTCCCTTCTCTCATGCACTTGACTTTCTAGTCAATAGAAGATCATCAGTGGAGAAGTCATCAAATAAAAGGCAATTTAAGGTAGTGGTGAGTTCCAAAGGCAATAACACCATGGTGATGGGAAGGTGAGTAACTGGTGGAGGGTGGAGGTGGGGAGACTTCATGGAAGGCCTCTCTGGGAAAGTGTTGTTTGAACGGATCCAGATGATGTGAAGGAGCCAGGCATGAAATGATCTGGGGCAGAGCTTTTCAAGAAAGGAGAACAGCAAGGGCAAAGGCCATGGATATACAGTGACAGTGGCCCAGTTACACAATGGAGTCATTTCTGTGTAGGGAGTGCAGAGAACTAGAGAATCAGAATAGAAATCCTGGGCTGCATCATGGTGAATCTTGAGGTCACAGTAAAGAGTTGGAATTTGCTTATAAGCAGAAAATTTTAAGCAAGGAAGAGACAGCATCTCATTTATATTTTTCTAAGACCATTCTGGCTTCTCTTTAAAATTACAGGGGGCTGGCACTATGGCGTAGCGGGTAAAGCTACCACCTGCCTGCCATATGGGTGCCAGTCCAAGTCTGCTCTCTGCTATGGCCTGGGAAAACAGTAGGAAATGGCCCAAGTCCTTGGACCCCTGCACCCATGTGGGAGAACTGGATGAAGCTCCAGACTCTTGGTTTTGGATCTGCCAGGCTCTGGTCATTGCAGTCATTTGGAGAGTGAACCAGTGGATGGAAGACCTCTCTCTCTGTCTCTCTCTTTCTATCTGTCTGTCTGTCTCTCTGCCTTTCAAATAAATAAATTAAACTTTTTTTAAAAAAACAAGAATAGATTACAAAGGGTAAGAGTGGAAGCTATAGGGAGATTTCTGTATAATTGCAATCAGTTGTATTGTATCACTACAATTGTATCACCACCTCCTGGTGGTGGAGGTGTAACAGGTATGGTGATTTTTTTTAATATAATCTATAAAGATTTAAAGGAAGGGATTGCATCTGCTAAACATTCCCCTAAAGGTTATCAGTAGCTCTACACATGAAGAAGCTGGACTTAGCCTTCTGTTGTTTGGTAAGACTTCAGTCAGAGCCTTAATTACTCAGACCAAACAAATAATCTCTTTTGTGCATAGAAGATTAGTCCAGATGACTAGATTCTGAGCTAAAAGAAAATCATTCCTAATGGTGTCCTTCTAGATTCAAAATGTTGGATCCCACTAAATCATCAGATTTTGGAGACACAATAGCCCTGATGTAGAAGTTGGACTGGGATAATAGCAGGAGGTTGAATTAAAAATGTAATTTGGAACTTGCTGGTTAGAGGTGGAGAGTGAGGGAAAGAGAGGAATCAATAATGACTCCTGAATAGTTTGCAGGAACAATGGAGAGCATCGATGGTGACATTTGCTGAGATGAGGGACACTGTGGAACCTTTGAAGGAAAACAGTATCACCTTTCTAGATGGGCAGCGAGAGACCTTGCCAATAGGCTGGGCCCTGCTCTTTAGGTGGCTCCAATCTGGGTCTTCCAACCATGTGGCAAGGAGTCTACCTCTCTGTCTCCAATCTCATTTCCAGATTGGCCAAAGGATAATATCTGTTGATGTGTATGTATAGTGTGTATGGGGAGATCCTCATACATGTATATGTGTAATGTGTAGTGTGTGTGTGTGCACGCATGCATGTTGTGTGTGCGGTGTGTATTATTGCATGTGATGTGTGGTATGGATGTGGTATAGGGTTAGTGTTTATGTGTGATATGTATGTATGGTGTGTTGTATATGTGGTTTATCTGTATGATGGGTGTATGGTATGTGGTATGGGTATGTGTATGTGGTATGTGTTGGGGGAGTGTAGTGTGTGGAGGCTGTACAAATTATATGTGGGGGTGGGATAGGCATTGTGATATGCAGTTGTGGGTATGGATGTATGTGTCCATGGTGTGTTTTGTGTGTGTGTGGTGTGGATGTGTGGGTGGGAATGTGGTGTTTGGTATGTGTATGTGGTGTGTTTTGGGAGTGTGTTCTATGGGGGTATTATGAGGAGGAGAGTTGGAAGGGTGCAGTGTGTGGTATGGGTATGGATATTTGTAGGGTGTGACTTGTGTGTATATGGTATGTGGTATGTGTGGGGACTGTATCTAGAGCTTGAATATGAGCACTGGGGTATTCACAGTCATGTGAATAGGTCCTCTCAGAGCAGCAAGGGGCTGGGTGTGAGAAGGAAATGAGTGAGCTGCCTATCTGTGCAATGCACACACATCCAATTTTACATACCATAGCTGAACAGCATTTGTTAACTAGAAATAGCATCATTATAAAGTAATGTCCATGACAAAGTTTCTCATATGCCTCCATGTCACAGAGATCATGCCAAGTCCGAGGCCTAGAAAAGTGGGAGAGGATCTGAAAAACAAGCTTAGCCTATCTTACAACTTCGTCAGGGTCCTGGCACATGGAGTAAGAGTTCACTGTGGGAGCAAGAATAACAGCAACTGCCCTCCAAGAGGAGATCCATTCAATCTGCCCTTGAGGCACTGACTCCAGTACTGTGACAGGTGTTGTGCAAGGGACACTTAGGTGCTCATACAAGCTCTGGATAACACTGTGATGAAATGTGCCCTTCCAGTCTTGACTCTCACTTCCTTTGTGCCTGCAGGTATGTGGGACATGCCTTCAGACAGTCGCTATGTCACATTAACTGGGACCATCACCCGAGGCAAGAAAAAAGGTCATGTGGTGGACATCCATGTCACACTGACAGAGAAGGAACTGCAAGAACTCACCAAGCCTCAGGAGTCAACCAGGGAAACAGAATCTGAAGGAAGAAATGCCTGCCAGATGGGAGCAGACCGTGGGCCTCACGTGGTTCTTTGGACACTGGTCTGCCTGCCTGTGGTTTTCATCCTCTCTTTTGTGGTCTCTTTCTACTATGGCACTATCACCTGGTACAACATCTTCCTTGTATACAACGAGGAGAGGACCTTCTGGCACAAGATCTCATGTTGTCCCTGCCTCATTCTCTTCTACCCTGTGCTTATCATGGCCATGGCTTCTTCCCTGGGCATCTATGCTGCTGTGGTCCAACTCTCATGGTCATGGGGAGCATGGTGGCAAGCTGCCCGGGATATGGAGAAGGGATTCTGTGGCTGGCTCTGCAGCAAGTTGGGACTAGAGGACTGTTCTCCCTACAGTATTGTAGAGTTGCTTGAATCTGACAATATCTCAGGCACCCTTTCCAACAAGGACTCCACGCAGGAAGTAGAAACCTCCATGGTTTAAACTCCTGATAATTTCCTTTCTTCTCTGGTAGATAGATCTGGTAGCCTATATAATATCTTAGAATTCCAGCAGATTCTTTATTTCTTTTTTTTTTTTTTGGAAGATTTATTTTATTTATTTGAAAGACAGAGTTACGAGAAAGGTAGAGACAGACAGAGAGGTCTTCAGTCTGCTAGTTCACTCCCCAGATGGCTGTAATGGTTGGAGCTGTGCCGATCTGAAGCCAGGAGCCAGGAGCTTCTTCTGGGTCTCCCTTGTGGGTGCAGGGGCCCAAGGACTTGGGCCATCCTCTACTGCTATCCCAGGCCATAGCAGAGAGCAGGATCAGAAAAGGAGCAGCCGGGACTAGAACCAGTGCCCATATGGGATGCAGGCGCTTCAGGCCAGGTCTTTAACCTGCTGCACCACAGCGCCGGCCCCCAGATTCTTTCTTTAAATTATCCCCTGTCTCCCACAGTTCTTTGGGAACATCCTAGTCCACATTGATCTGTCTACCATCTTGATAGAGGGCAGAGAATCGGGCAATTTGTGCCAAAGTTTTCCACCCAGTGGACAAAGCCTACTTGACTCCTCCTCTAAAATGATCATTTTTATGGGACAAGGAACTCCACTGTGTATCAGTTTAGGCGCTTGAAGGTACAACTGGTGTCTGAAATCCATGAGAGTTTGTTACTAAATGTGACAGGGAGGATAAGGAGTCTCAAGGATGAGCAAAGCCACTAGAAAACAGGGACAGAGTGAAACATTTAGAAAGCCAGGCTACCGCAGTAGCTTGTAGTAACAATAAAGGTTTGTGCACATCACTTTGAGTTAGATTTAGCTCCATATAATTAAAACCCTAAAATATCAATGGTTTAAACAAGATAGAAGCTTCTTGTATAGAAGTCTAGAGGCAGACCATCCCTGTGAAGTCATCTAGGTCCTTGGTTTCTTCCATTCCATTTTCAATAGTAGGATGTGGGAGCCTCATTACTCCTCAATGTCCTGGTGCTGACTACAAAACTTCAACCATCTTATCCACACTTTGGCAAAACAGAGGTGGGGCAAAAAAGTGCACATCTTCATTTTTAAGGAAACTTCCTAGAAGTTCCACTGAACACTCCTTACATCTCTTTGGCTAGACCTCAGTCACATGACATCATAGGCAAAAGAGGCTGGGAAATGCCAACTTTAGGCTGTGTAGCTACACTCTCAGCTAAGTATTGAGGTGATGCTATTAAAAAAAAGGGAAGAGTGGCTATTTTGATAGTTAAGTAAGAATTTCTGACATAATAATTACTCAAAAACATTCAGAATCTCAAACTGCTGATATAATTTATTTAATTTATTTTTATATTTATTTGTTGCTCTTTAGTTCACTCATTCATTTATTTTGGCCTGAATAGTATGTAAGGAATTTATATGTAAGTATCTGCTGCCTATACTAGATATGTATGTGCTATACACACATATTAGCACCTCATGTGCTTTGCAATTAAACTGCCATAATGTCATCATGCTCAAGTTTTGTAAGAAATAGTGGACAAGAGAGTACAATTGCATAATAGCAGAATAACCCTTTTTACTGGTGGTAGAGGTGGAACAGATATGGTGACTTTTTAATCTAATCTATAAAGACTGAAAGGAAAGGATTGCATTTGTTAAGTGTTCCCTAAGGGTGACAGGTAGCTCTAAGCATGAAGAAGCCAGTGTTAGACCTCTGTTATTTGGCAAGACCTCACTCAGAGCCTTAATCACTCAGACCTTTCCAGAGTTTGGAAACAAAGAGGGTCTTTTCTGTGCTTAGAAGATTAATCCAGATGACTAGATTCTGAGTTAAAAGAAAATCATTCTTGACGTTATCTTTCTAGATTCAAAATGTTGAATCCCAAGAAGTCATCAGATTTTGGAGATTTGGGTCCTCATCCAAAAAAAGCTGGTGCTCATTTCTTGTTCTTATTTCAGAAAGAAGTACTTGGAAGAACTGCTGTGAACCAACCCAGAGGGGTTGATCATGCTCCCCACAGAGAGTCATGGGCATTTTCCTAATGGATGGTGCTGAACCCCACCTTCAGAATAACTCTCTTTAAAAATAGCTATTATTAGTTTGACAAGAGAAGAGGTACTCATCATTTTTGAAGATAAGCTTGGTGCTCTCTGGTGCATTTTCAGAGATATGAACAATTGAAGATAAAGTAAAAATAAAATCTGATTAATATTTGCTTACTTTGCCTTTGAGGTGCTCCAAAATTGCTCTGAATGTCATCATTTGCAGAAATAAAGGTGAGCATAATAGGTGTCTTCTATATCTTTATGTAATGAACTTAGTATGTATCCATAAATATTGACTTCTTCCATGCACTAATAATTTATGGGTTGTCTATTTAGGCGGATATTTCTTCCAATCTCCTTTTTATTTAAACCCACATTACAAAATTGTTACCAACGGTGTCACAATTTTCTGGGGTTGAGGAGACCGATGGTCAAGGCCCAAAATAATGTGATTAGGACAAGAGCAAGGTGCCCATAGTGGAATGGAGGAGCAGAAGTGAGTGTGAGATTATGGCCAAGGGATACAAAGACAACAAACACTGTCATGGCCTTAACCCTGGTTGGGCTCATCACCTAGTGGAGGAAATAGGCTTGCAAATAAAAATCATTTAAAAGGTGCCCTAAAGAGGTAAATGCCCATGCCGGAGGCAGGACAACCGATCCACAAAAGAACTAAAGCCATCTCATCCTTGCTGTCAGTAATGCCTAGACAATTTTGGAGAAGAAATTGGAGTTAGATACCTTATTTACCACATTTGCTCAATTCTGTTAACTCCTATTTACCCAGTCTCCATGGTGACTGTCAAGGAAGAGGACTGTATTTCCCAATTACTTAGCAACTGTAGTATTCTGATGGGGATAAACCATGTCTGACCTGATATGGTTACACTGTTATTTCCAAGTCATCTGTCAGTTCACATTAGGCAGCATGTCCTGTTCATGTCCATGATTAGCAAGACCCACGGTTTTCTTTTCTTTTCTTTTCTTTTCTTTTTTAAGATTTAATTATTTGAAAGACAGAGTTACAGAGAGAGATAGAAACAGAGAGAGGTCTTCCATCCACTGGTTCACTCCCCAGATGGCTGCAACGGCCCGAGCTGTGCCAATCCGCAGCCAGGATCCAGGAGCTTCTTCCATGTCTCCCACATGGGTGCAGGGGCCCCAAGGACTTGGGCCATCTTCCACTGCTTTCCCAGGCCATAGCAGAGAGCTGGATCGAAAGAGGAACAGCCAGGACTAGAACCAGCATCCATACGAGACCCATGATTTTCTACAAAACAAGACTAAATGTTCAAAGAACTACTTTCAGATGATTTGAAAGTTTCATTGTGTCAGTTTGGAATGGCTATGCAGGGCTTACTTTTTGCAGTGTTGAAAAAAGACTCGTGGCCAACATGAAAAGGTTTCTTTTCTTCAACTCAACATAAGCCTTTTATGTGGATTTTAAAAAATAGTTTTTGATGGAAATAGAACATTGTACATCACCATGTACAACTATTTGGGATATAAGCTTTTATTATTTCATATCTGTATCCTATGGGTATAAGTGTTCATTTCATATCTGTACACTACATTTTAACTAATTTTCCCAACTTGTTATCTAACTATTGCTGCAGTTCTCAGTCTGAACACAAAGCCTGCACATTTTTATTTTGTATAATAAAGTCATCATTCACATAGTTAAGAATCAGTGATATCAAACTCAAACACATTGTAGGAACTACAACACTAAATAGGAAGGAAAAAATTTGACCCAGAGGAAAAGCAACCTCATCTTGGCCCTTGGTAAAAAGCTAGAAACATCAGAGGAGGAATTACCAAGTTAAAAACCACATTCAAACAATTCTGTTAGTTCAGTTACCTAATCTTAATAATCTCATTTGTGTGGCCGCAGTCAGGTGCTGCATGTAAGCTAGGTGAGCCTTGGGCTCTCGGTGCTCAATGCTTGTATTAGTCTGCTTGGCCTCCATACAACATAAACTGTCTAGGTGACATGAGCAATAGAAATTTTTCTCCAGTTCTACAGGCTAGAAGTCAAGATCATGGTAACAGGATTGTTGGTTTCTGGTGAGGACTCTCCTCTTGGGCTGCAGATTGTCACCTTTTTCTTGTACGTTCGTGTGATCTCTTTGTGCAAGGAAGGGGGAGGGTGGAAAGAAAACTCTCTATTATTTCTTCTTATAGAGGCACTAATCCAATTACATCATGAGGCCCTACCTTCATCTTATGGCTTTATCTAAACCTAATTACCTCCCAAAGGCCTCATCTCCAAATGTGGGGCCTTGTTGTGGGTTAGGACTTCAACACATGAATCTAGGGGGAGCACAAACATTCAGTTCATAACAGTGCTCCTCCATGTGGCTCTGTTCATTTTCATGGCACACCAGGTTCATGGCTGTTGGTCTTCATACATGGGGTCTGGCTTTTCTAGAAAGCAAAAGCCAGATCTGGGCAATCTGAAAGCATGTGCACAGAACTTGCCTAGTGCTGATTTTGTTACATTTTACTGACCGAACCAGGTCATAAGGCAAGTCCAGATTCAAGGGGAAGGGACTATTGGAAGGCATGGCACATGGGGTCACCAAAGTAACAGCATGTCATTTCCCTTTCTCTATTCCAACTATCTCCTTCATATGCCACAGTGGATCCCATATTTCTCTCTGTCCAACTCACTTACCAACCCCAAAACACATACCATCATCTACACTAGTCACAGTCCATCAATCTCTTGTCCTCCCCTTTACACTCAATTCTGTATTATATAAATCCAGAAGGACCATGCCGTGACAGGTAAACATGGAACTAACAAAGTTAGATTCCTTTGCTTGTGGAGGAGGAAGGGAGTAGCCATTATATGCTGTCACATTAATAATTTTTGCCACTTCACCCTTGATTAATGGAGGTCTTTTTTCAAGAGAAGCAATACTTAAAGTATACATGCATTCTCAGCACCAAAGCTGTATAGTTGTCTGGGAGTGAATGGTTCTAAAGACTTTTTTTTTTTTAAGGTTTATTTGTTTGAAAGGTAGAGTTACAGAGCAAGAGGGAGGGGGAGAAAGAGAGAGATCTTCCATCTGCTGGTCCACTCCCCAATGGCTGCATCAGCCAGGGTTGGGCCAGGCTAAAACCAGGAGCCTGAACTCCATGTGGGTCTCTCATTTGGGTGCAGTGGCCCAAGTACTTTGGCCATCTTCAGTTGCTTTCCCAGGTAATTAGCAGAGAGCTGGGTCAGAAGTGGAGCAGCTGGGACTGGAACCAGAGCCCATATGGAATGCTGGCTTCACAGAGAGCAGCTCTTAATCTGCTTCCCTACAACACAATCCCCCAAAGATTTCTATAAAGACTGCCAAAATGCACACAAGCATAGCTACTGGAATCTTTTATTTCTCCCAGGAAATAGATACGTATTGATGTGTGTGTGTGTGTGTGTGTGTGTGTGTGTATAAGGGAGAAGAACAAGAAGTGGAAGAAGGGGGATAGAAGAGATAGGAAAGAGAGGAAAGGAGGAGGGGGAAGGGGAGTGGGAAGAGAAAAAATGAGAAACAGACTCTCTTGGCGTCGATGTTTCTATAACTTTGGCTTCCTTAAGTCTCTTCCCGTTTCATGGAATCTTCACATATTTTCAGGTTGGATTTTCTAGCGGGAGAGAATCTGAACAGACATTATCTTCCCAGTTTGGGTAGAGGTTTGCAGACATTTGCCAGGTTCCTGAACCCTGTGTCCAATCACCCGTCAGCTGTGGCTCATTTGGTGTAGAAAGCAGTTGTTTGCGTGCAAGGGTCACTGGAGCCTTCCTACTTCAAAGGGTGAGAAACTGTGGGCTGCCCAGTTTCTTTTAAGGGGGATCAATAGCCTGTGAAGCACTGGGATTGATAGCTGCCATTTTTAGTACTACCGAGACTCAGCTTCTAAATTAAAACTCTCCTCCACTCTTCCAAGCTGAAGGCACTTGGAACTACTGGGAGAACCAGAGCAGATGCCGTTTTATGCCTTCTGATGTTTGTACATCTGATTTAGTCTACACAGAATGCCCGTTCTGTTTGCTTGGAAAAATACCCATACTCAAGGTAACATGCCGTCACAGCTCCGATACAAAACGCTGTGTTATTCGTAACGAGAGAAAAGGGAAATGAATCTTTCGAAGATGTGATTACAACACAGCTAATGCTAGTAACTTGAGCAGCTCGAAACCCACAAGCTCCTCCCTCACCAAGGAGGACTAGACGGATTCCGCGCATGCTCAGAACTCCGGACCACAATTTCCCCGCCCCTTCCAGGTTCAACAGGAAGCGGCTCTTCTCTGTACGGTCCGCCTGCCAATTCCCCGGAACCAAATTGCGATGCTGCATTTTCCGCCCGGAAGAAGTAACCAAGGCGCCTGCGGACTTGCAACATGGCGCGGTTCTGGAATAAGGTAGACAGGAACTTGGCCCCTTACCCAGGCCGGGGATCCGGAGAGGGCGGTTCGGAAGCAGGAATTGTGGGACCACCGCGGTGCCAAGGATTAGAGCAAGAGAGGACATGGTGGTGGGTTAGATCAAGAGGGCCGGAACCGATGGACGTGCCTTGAGAAAAGCTGAGGATTAGGGTGTCCGAAAACCTGAGTTTGAACCTCGCTCGCTGCATTTCACCCCTCCCATTCCCCTCTTCCTCTCCCACCAGCTCCTCGTGCCCTCCCTCCCCACTCCTCAATCCTACTGCACCTTTTGTTAGCTGTGAGTCTGGTTCCTTATAATCTGTACGAGAATGAGAGTTAGCTGTGATAAGCATCTGCCCCCGCAGGCTTGTAAAATTTAAGAGCGACTATCTGTGAGATAACTTGAAATACGAAGTGTCGTAATCACCTCTACAATAATTTAATGTCTTACCTTTTTGGACAGCTTATTCTGGGTGAGTCGAGATCCAGACCTTTTATTCCTGTCTCATTCAATCTCAACAACACTGAGCGGTGTTGTTAACTGTTAACCCCACTTTGCAGGTGGAAAACCAAGGCATAGAGAACTGAAATGATTAGTCCGTGGTCACCTAGCCTGTAAGTGATGGAACCCGAATTTGAACCCAGGCTGTCTGATTTCAGAGCCCTAGAGCATCTCCATTTTGCTAGGAATCTGTGAGCCTTGGTGTCCAGATTAACAACAGAAATGACAGTGAATTTTAAAGCGATTTTGTCGATATAAGAGGAGAGTTGCAGTTGTCTCTGAAGGGTCACTAGAGGGGGGTATGGTTTCAGGAATTCATTCATTTATCCATGCATACAAATAGAAGAGGAGTTTGGCTAATTGATCCCTAGTCCCCTCCACTCCCTGTGGATTAAAATGAGTATGAACTCAGAGTGATGCCATTCACCACCTTTGTTCCTCTTCTGAAAGCTGCTGAAAACTTTGTAGCTGTAATGGAGAGGAGTTTGTGCCAATGAACTCGAAGTAAAATTTTAGCAGCCTGTTTTGCTTCAACATAGAAATGAGAGTTAAACTGCTCGGTTTCTTTTCCTGGTTTTCTTATTGTTGCCAGAAAGGAACTAGAGTATTATATAGACCATTCGTCGTCTTCCAGATAAAAAGTTCTCCTCAACTATTTATTTCGTGGCAAAAGACTCTTAGTCTTTTTGAGTTTTCTGGTTTAAAAGTAGGTTTTGTTAATATGTATTAAGTAAATGCAATAGCATTTTTGTAACCTCTAAGGTGTTGTTAGATTCTTATGCCCCATAGAATGTACATTTTATTGCTCTCAAAGGGATTTTGTAGTTTATTTTCACCTATTTCTAAAATAATTGTCTGTACTCCAGAAATATATGCAATTATTCTCAATTCTTGTAAACTAGGGGAAAAATAGTGTCTTTTTCATGTGCTGGCAAAGATATAATCACATTTAGAAATAAGAGCTCACCACCAAGAGTTTTCAAACACATCTAGGGTCAGGAGATCATTGCCTCAGAAAATAGTTTCCTTATTGCTTACTTTTTCATTTTTTAAAAGATTTATTTTATTTATTTGAAAGGCTAAGGCCGGCACCGCAGCTCACTAGGCTAATCCTCCGCCTTGTGGCGCCGGCACACCGGGTTCTAGTCCCAGTCGGGGCACCGGATTCTGTCCCAGTTGCCCCTCTTCCAGGCCAGCTCTCTGCTGTGGCCAGGGAGTGCAGTGGAGGATGGCCCAAGTACTTGGGCCCTGTACCCCATGGGAGACCAGGACAAGTACCTGGCTCCTGCCATCGGATCAGCATGGTGCACCGGCGGCAGCTCGCCAGCCGCGGCAGCCATTGGAGGGTGAACCAACAGCAAAGGAAGACCTTTCTCTCTGTCTCTCTCTCACTGTCCACTCTGCCTGTCAAAAAAAAAAAAAAAAAAAAAAAGGCTGAGTTAAGGGAGGGAAGAGGAGAGATCTTCTATCCACTGGTTCACTCCCCAAATGGCGGCTACAGGCAGGGCTGTGCCATACAGAAACCAGGTGTTTCATCTGAATCTCTCATGTGGGTGTAGGGGCCCAAGCACTTGGGCCATCTTCCTCTGCTTTTACAGGCCATTAGCAGGGAGCTGGATCAGAAAGGGAGCAGCCAGTACTGGAACTGGCACCTATATGGGATGCCAACATTGCAGGAGATGGCTTAACCCGTTATGCCACAATGGTGGTCCCTATTGATTACTTCTAGATGTTATTTCCCACTTTATTTGGAGCCAAGC